GGGGGGGGGGGTTAGGGTTAGGTTTAGGGTTAGGGTTAGGGTTTAGGGTTAGGTTAGGGGTTAGGGTTTAGGGTTGAGGTTTAGGGTTTAGGGTCAGGGTTTCAGGGTTCAGGGTGTAGGGTGTAGGGTGCAGGGCTTAGGGTTAGAACAAACCCTCCTCAGGGTTCGTTTTGTGTTTTTGGTGGGTGGGTTGGGGGGGGGGGGGGGGGAAAGGGGGGAGGGGGGTGGGGTAGGGGGGGGAAAGCTGGGGGCTTTAGCAGGGGTTGCTAGCATGCTAGGGTATATTCGGGGTGCCCCCACAGTATGTGTAAGCATGGCACATCAAACTTGCCAAGGCATTTTGCATAAACGGGCCTCATAAACTGACTGCGCCCCTAATTTACCCTGAAACGCTGAAACCCTGAAGTCATGAAACCCCAGAACCTTAAAACCCTAAGTATCCTGAAGCCCTAAGATCCTACGTTCTAATTCCACCCCAGCTAACAATGCCCCAAATGCCGATTCCCTGAACCTCAGAGAGGGGGGATTTAGGGTTTAGGGTTTAGGGTTTAGGGTTTAGGGTTTAGGGTTTAGGGGTGCCCTGAACCCGCCCCTCAGCCCGAAATCCGTCTAGGAATGCTGGCTGGCCTGATGTGCATCGGGGCTGTGTCAGGGACTGGATGGTACATGAGCTCCTCGGAGCATTTTGGAAGGGAGCCCTAAACCCTAAACCCTACACCCTAAACCCTACACCCTAAACCCTAAACCCTAAACCCTAAACCCTAAACCCTAACCCTAAACCCTAAACCCTAAACCCTAAGCCCTAAACCCTAAACCCTAAACCCTAAACCCTAAACCCTAAACCCTAAACCCTAAACCCTAAACCCTAAACCCTAAACCCTAAACCCTAAACCCTAAACCCTAAACCCTAAACCCTAGCCCTGGCTCAAGCCCCACACCCTAAACCACTGCCCGAACTTCCATCCTTCATAAAAGGAACTGTTTAGGGTTTAGGGTTCAGGGTTCAGGTTTCAGGGTTCAGGGTTCAGACTCTGCAGGAGACTTCCGGCCTAAACCCCTAAAATCCTGGTACCTCCAACTCCCGAAGCCACAAAGGCCCAAAGCTCTGAATCCTGAACGCCCCGAAGCCTAAGGCCGAAAGAACCCCAACCCGAAATCCCACGCCCTAAGCCCCGAAGCTCTAGAAGCCCTAAAGGCCCTGAAAGCCCTCGCAGACCGCTAAAGCCCAAAAAAGCCCTAAACCTAAAACGTCCTAAACGCCCTGAAAGGCCTAAACGCCCCTAAACCCTAAACCCTAAAAGCCCTAAAAGCCGTAAAGGCCGTAAATGCCATCTGCCCTAGCGAAGCCTTGGCTAACCCCCTGGTTCTCAGTAGGAAGTGGAACCCTACATAGTGTCTTAAAGGGTCTATATAGGGGCATGTAGGGCACCTCATTCCGTAATTCCCTATCCCGAACACCCTAAACCCTAAACCCTAAACCCTAAACCCTAAACCCTAAACCCTTTAGAAACTAAGAGCCCAGCAAGCTCAGGCTACTCCACGGCGCAAGCGTCGTTAGAGAACGCCGGCTCGGACTCTGAGCTTATTTCTTTAGTTGGGTTTGGGTGTAGGGTTTTGCAGAGTTTAGGGTTTAGGGTTTGCAGGGTTTGCCCGGCACCCTAAATCCTGTGTTTTTGTTTTGTGCGTTTTTTTTTTTTGAGGGGGGGGGGGGGGTGGGAGTTGGGGTTTGCGATTTGGTCTCGAGGGGTTCGAGTTTTGCGGTTTGGGGTTTGGTGATAGTGGTTTAGGTGTTTTTGTCTTTTGGGGAGCTTTCTGGGCTTACGTAGGGCTCTGGGTTTTGGTGTGTATTTTTTTTTTTTTTTTTTTTTTGGGGGGGGAGGGGGGGGGGGGGGGGGGGGGGGAGGGACTTCAGGTATTGGTTTAGGGTGTGGGTTTTGGTGTTTTGGGCTTGCGGGGTTCAGGGTTTATGGGCCGTGAAGCCATGTCATTGGCTAAATATCCGTGTTGTGGCAACCTAAGCCCAAAAACCTCATGCAATCCTAAACCCTTACAGCCTACACCCCAATCCAGCAAAAACCAACCCTAAGCCCCAAACCCTGAACCCCGACGTCCAAACGCCTAAAGCCTAAACCCCTTCCACCCCTATCCCTAAACCCTAAACCCCTTACACCCTAAACCCTAAACCCTAAACCCCTTCCACCCCTCAACTCAGGACTTCATGGCCAATATCCCCCTCTACGTGGAGTCGAGCCTCAAGCACCGCTTGGACCCCATCCGCTTCCATCTCAAGGCCTGGAGGGTTTGGGAGGCTTTAGGGGTTGAGGGGGTTGAGGGGGTTGAGGGTTGAGGGTTTAGAGTTGAAGGTTTAGGGTTTAGGGCTTAGGGTTCCCTAAGCCCAGAACCGGGGCTTCCGGGCTTTCAGGATTTTTGGCTCCGGGGCTTCAGGAACTGCAGGGCTTTTGGGGTTGAAGGGCACAAGGAGTTCGAGGCCTTTGTGTTGTTTTTAGGGTTTAGGGTTTAGGGTTTAGGGTTTAGGGTTTAGGGTTTAGGAGGTTTAGGGTTTAGGGTTTAGGGTTTAGGGTTTAGGGTTTAGGGTTTAGGGTGTAGGGTGTAGGGTTTAGGGTTTAGGGTTTAGGGTTTAGGGTTTAGGGGACGTCTTTGCTCTAACATGTCGATGCTCCTCCTCATGGTCGTTGTTGCTGTCATTTCTACTACCACTGCTATATGCTATGTTTTTTTTGTCCTACCGTTGTCAATCCCACGAACCAATTTCTATTGCCATTGCTTCTGTGGTGTGTTCTAATTGTGCTTCGACTCCCTTTTCCCAGCAAATAGCGCCGCAGGGGTTCAAGTTGTTCGGCTTTCTGGTTCTCTGGTGCTTAATCCCTAAACCCTAAACCCTAAACCCTAAACCCTAAACCCCAAACCCCAAACCCTAAACCCTAAACCCTAAGGCTTGATCCTCCAAAGCGAACCGAATTGTAAGCTAGAGGAGCATCGACATGTTAGAGCAAAGACGTCCCCTAAACCCTAAACCCTAAACCCTAAACCCTAAACCCTAAACCCTAAACCCTAAACCCTAAACCCTAAACCCTAAACCCTAAACCCTAAAAACAACACAGAGGCCTCGAACTCCTTGTGCCCTTCAACCCCAAAAGCCCTGCAGTTCCTGAAGCCCCGGAGCCAAAAATCCTGAAAGCCCGGAAGCCCCGGTTCTGGGCTTAGGGAACCCTAAGCCCTAAACCCTAAACCTTCAACTCTAAACCCTCAACCCTCAACCCTCGACCCTCGACCCTCGACCCTCGACCCTCAACCCTCAACCCTAGACCCTAAACCCTAAACCCTAGCCCTTCCGAACCTTGAGGCGGGTCTCAGCATGCTCAACACGAAGGGCGTGGACGTTGCCACGTGGGACGGGATCTATCAGCTCCTTGCTCCGCCTTCAGGGGTTTAGGGTTTAGGGTTTAGGTTTTAGGGTTTAGGGTTTAGGGTTTAGGTTTAGGGTTTAGGGTTTAGGGTTCTATAGCTTCTCCTTCCAAAAGTTATGCTTTCTTTTTTCGCTGTACGCACCCAAGGGAATATGAGCTACATTGTTTTTCTTCCGGCCCTGAGGGCCGTTTCGTCTGTTTTGGAGTTCTGGCTTTGGATTTAAAGTCTGAGCTTGGAGTCTTACTTGCTGAGTGAGTACACTTTACACTTCTTTTACCCGGTATCCATAACCCCCTATAGAACTGAAAGTGTACACTTTTTTGGGGGCTTATGAACTCAGCAACTACCCTTAACCGTAAACCCTAAACCCTAAACCCTAAACCCTAAACCCTAAACCCTAAACCCTAAAGGAGTCTAGGACTTTGGACTGAGAGCTTGGGGTGCCAAGCCTCGGGTTTAGCCCCCCTGCAGGCTTTGACTGACCTTTGGGCGGGCCTTTGGCTACGGGTATGGGTTTGGGGTTTAGGGTTTAGGGTTTAGAGTTTAGGGTTTAGGGTTTAGGGTTTAGGGTTTAGGGTTTAGGGTCCCTCTTTACTCAGGTTTATGGTCTTCCGGGACAAGAACCTAGGTGCCTTGCATCCCCTGTTTGACGTTTAGGGGCTTCTAAAGGCCACTTAATCTCCGAGTCCCTTTCCAAGAAGAGCCAAACAGGGAACCCTGGACCCTAAACCCCAAAACCCAAAACCCTAAACCCTAAACCCTAAACCCTAAACCCTAAACCCTATGGGGTGGTGTAGGGTTTGGGGTTTGGGGTTTTGGGGGCTTCAGTCTCGGGCGTCGTGGACCAAGGATTCGGAACTACACCACGCCCTTCCTCCAGAATTTTTTCGGCGACACCAAGCTGCTGGGGCTTCGAGCTTGAGAGGGTATTACGGCTTTCGGGCTTCAGAGTTAGGCCACAAACCCCAAATTCCTGAATCCCAAAGATCCCTAAAGCCCTAAAACCCTAAAAACCCTAACAGCCCTTAAAGCCCTAAAGCCCTACAGCCCCAAAACCCCCAAAATTCCTGCAAAGCCCTGAACAAGTTGAAGTTTGAGCGCTCGCATTGCTTGCATCTTCTCGGCTTTGAAAGCTCCAGCACCAGCGACGCAGGGTTTTTGAGATTCAACGCCAAACCCTAGACCCTAAACAGCCCTAAACCCCAAAGCCCTAAGCCCTCAATAGTCCTAAACCCCCAACCCCAAACCCTATATAGCCCTAAACCCAAAACCCCAAAACCCCAAACCCTAAATAGCCCTAAACCCTAAACCCTAAATCCCAAACCCTGCATAGGGCTTCGAGATACCCAACAGAAGCCGAGAAGTCCTGGGATTCCCAAGAAACCGTGGGGGGATTTAGGGGGGGGGAGGGGGGAGGGGGTTTAGGGGAGGGGCTTTGGGGGGGGTGTTTCTAGGGGGGGTTTAGGGGGGTTGAAGGGGGGTTTAGGGGGTTCAGGTTCATAGGGGTATGTACCCAGAAGAAAGACCTACAGTCTATGGGCGTGAGGTGCTGCTATGGTGTGGCAGTGAACATGGGCTTCGACAAAGCCGATGTCGAGCCATATGGTGCCCCGGTACTGCATCGAAACATGGGCTTAGGGGGTTTAGGGTTTAGGGTTTAGGGTTTAGGGTTTAGGGTTTAGGGTTTAGGGTTTAGGGCTTAGTTAGGGCTTTGGGTTTAGGGCTCTGGGCTTTGGGCTTTGGGGCTTGGGGCTTGGGGGTTAGGAAGCCTAAATTCTAAGCCCTGGGGGGTTAGGGGTTTAGGGCTTGGGGCTTCGAAACAGAGGCCCAAAGCCCAAACTAATCGCTTCCCCCCCAATACTAACCCCACCCCAAAGCTAGGATGCCCAGCAGTACCCTTATTCCCTTTTTGGGGGGTTTAGGTTCCCTTATAAACCCCTTTAAGCAAAAAAGGGCACCCTTTTTAAGCCTAGGTTACTGGGCAGCCTAGAAAGCTATTTGAGATGGGGGGGGGGGGGGGGGGGGGGGGGGTGAGGGCCTCCGCCATTGAGTTGAGCCATTAGGGTTTTCAATTAGGGTTTAGGGCCTAAGGCTCAGAGGATTTTCAGGGTTTAGGGCTCAGAGAGTTTAGCTGTCAAGGGTGCGGTTGGTCGCAGTCATTACCACATCTCTCTCGTTTTCGGCTTTGGGGTTTAGGCTTCGGATTTCAGGTTTTAGGGTTTCGGTCCGCCCTAACTGAAAATATTTTCCGGCCGAGGCGAAGTTTAGAATTGGGGGGGGGGGGGGGTAAGTATTAGGGGGAAGGGATTGCCCTGTTGACCCCAGAGGCCCTACACTCCCAAACCTTCTGTTCCTTTGAAGCTCAATAAACCCGAGACTCTGAAATCCGGACCAAGAGAGACTCACAGCTTGAATCGTCCTGAGGCTTAGGGGTTGAGAGTTTGGGGCTTTGGGGTTTCGAGATCAGGTTGAACGAAACTCCAGTCTTCCCGGTAGGACCCACACCTACTAGGCTTTGGGGCCTAAACCCTAAACCCTAAACCCTAAACCCTAAACCCTAAGCCCTAAGCCCTAAGCCCTAAGCCCTAAGCCCTAAACCCTAAGCCCTGAACAAGTCAAACCTCAAGGTGGGTGGCAGGGATTCCTGGACGCCCACGTGGGCAACTGGGGCGACGATCGCATGGTGAGCGACGTGGTGCTGATGGATGCTGTGGCAGCCAACGTCTGTTTTTGTTTTGTTTTTTTAAGTTTTCTGTGGCAGCCAAGTCTGCTTTGGGGTTTTGGTTGTCGTTGGGTTTGTTGAGCTTGTTTTTTGATTTTGCTTTTTTGTTTTGTTGGCGGGTTTTCTTGAGGGTTGAGGGTTCAGGGTTCAGGGTTCAGGGTTCAGGGTTGAGGGTTGAGGGTTGAGGGTTGAGGGTTGAGGGTTGAAATATCAAATTCAGAGCCTGTGGCTTACCCAGAGCAACCCTGTACCGTAACAAAAGGGTGCACATGCCTCAGAATGCCTCGCTGGTGCAAGCGATTTCTCGGTGGAGGGTTGGCAGTTTAAAGGGTGCTCCTGGTGTGACTGCTCCAAGCGGTTTGGGGTTTAGGGTTTGGGGTTAGGGTTTGGTTTAGGGTTTCAAAGACTCGTAGCCCTAAACCCCTAAGAGATCGCCTCAATGTAGTCCTGATATGGCCCTGATATTCCCTTCGAGGATCCTTCAAAATGGGATCCCCAAAACCAAAGGCTACAACCTTAGGGCCATACTTGGAGGTTCATGGTACTGATACACCTACTATAACTGTACTTGTAACCCCCACTGATAAGCCCCTTAAGTGCCCGAATATGGTTATAAGCACAGTTTTTTAGTACCACGAACTTCCAAGAAGAGGTCCAATAGCTAGGGTCCCGTGGTTCTTTACATCAACTTGGTGGCTGACCAAAGCCCAAAACACTCAGCCCTAAACCCTAAAACGGCAAACCTAAGCTCTAAAACCCCTAAACCCCTAAACCCCTAAACCGCTAAACCCTAAACCCTACACCCCCTGAACAAACAAAAGTAAGCAGCAACCCAGGACAAGGACGCGGACGGCAATCCGACAGTCGTAGGACAGGGCGGAGCTCTGGGTTGTTCCTTGAGAAGCCCTGAAAGCCCTAAACCCTATTTAGGGTTCAGGGTTGAAGGTTGAGGTTTCGACTTCGGGGGTGAAGGGTTCGGGGTCCAGGATTAAGCCCTCAAACCCACAGCCCTAAACCCCGCAAACCCTATGCAAACCAACAACTCTCAACCCCAAAAACCTTAAACCCTAAACCCTAAACCCTAAACCCCAAAAGGTAGGGCCTGGCAGGGCCAGTCAGCCAATGTAGGGTTTCTGTGCCGAAGGGAGTCTCAAATGTAGGAGGCTGCAAAGGTCTGAAGCTCTCCCCCGTTTGGGGTTTGTGGTCTTTGTAGTGCTTTACTGTAACTTTAGATCCTTAGCTTTTTTGGGTTTTTTTGGGTTTCTTAATATGGCAGCTAAAAATTTTTAGCTACCCTTCTGAGTGCAGCCAAGTGGTTTAGGGGTTAGGGTTTACTGTTTTTGGTTTAGGGTTTAGGGTTTTGCGTTTTAGGGTTAAGGGGTTTTCAGGGGGTGGGTGGGCGGGGGAGGGGGCGGGCTTTAGGGTTTGGGGTGTATGGTTAAAGCGACGACTTGAGAGCTGCACGGCTGGGGCTCCTACTTTTGGGGGTCTCGAAACCAAAAAAAACCCAGGGCGCTGGGAATGGAAACAGAGTTTGAGAGTTCGAGAATGACCCTAAACCCTAAACCCTCAACCCTCAACCCTCAACCCTCAACCCTCAACCCTCAACCCTCAACCCTCAACCCTAAACCCTAAACCCTAAACCCTAAACCCTAAACCCTACGCTGCTAGGAGTGGAGACAGAGTTTGAGAATGGCTCCTCCACAAACTCCTTCATCGCACGGCCGCTGGATCCCGTGTCGCGGCCCGGCTGCGCCTTTTCGGGGGGACTCCAACTCTCTAATTTAGGGTTTAGGGTTTAGGGTTTAGGGTTTAGGGTTTAGGGTTTGGGGTATGGGGTATGGGGTATCGGGTTTAGGGTTTGGGGTTTGGGGTTTGGGGTTTGGGGTTTGGTGTTCCTTGCCTCAGAACCCTACTTTTTACCATCCATGAGGGCTTAGGGCTCACAGCTTGGTGCCCCCAGGTGCGCCCTGAGCTTGAGTTCGAGATTCGTTCAGAAGCAAGTGTAAATTCTCAGCCCCTAAACCCAGAAAACCCTTAGAACCCTTAAACCCCAAACCTTAAACCCCAAACCCTAAACCCTGAACCCCAAACCCCGAACCCTTAAACTCCAAACCCTTAAACCCTTAAACCCTTAAACCCCAAACCCTAAACCCCAAACCCTAAACCCTAAACCGAAGCAAGGTACCTGCCCAGCGTCAGCAAGAGCGAAGGCCGGGCCCTGGCCTGGGGTCTCATGAAAAGCATGATCTCTCGGTAGGGTTTAGGGTTTAGGGTTTAGGGTTTAGGGTTTAGGGTTTAGGGTTTAGGGTTTAGGGTTTAGGGTTTAGGGTTTAGGGTTTAGGGTTTAGTTTTTAGGGTTTAGGGTTTAGGGTTTAGGGTTTAGGGTTTAGGGTTTAGGGTTTAGGGTTTAGGGTTTAGGGTTTAGGGTTTAGGGTTTAGGGTTTAGGGTTTAGGGTTTAGGGTTTAGGGTTTAGGGTTTAGTTGTTCAGGGTTCAGGGTTCAGGGTTTAGGGTTTAGGGTTTAGGGTTCAGGGTTTAGGGTTTAGGGTTTAGGGCCCTTAAAGGTATACAACCCAAGGGCCCATACTTCAGAACCCTTGGACAGAAGACAGGGGAACATATTCAGGGACCATATAGCTACCCTTAGATGCATTTGCGTTTAGGGCTTAATTTGGTTGGAGGGTTTGCCATGCTAGCTTTTGCAAGAGTATTGCCCCGAAAAGTTTGGGGGCAATGTTCTTTGCAAACGAACCTGCTGCACAGTTCAACACACACGTTATTCTGGATCTACTAAACTCATATGGCAAGATTGTTGAGTGTCATGTTTAGACGTTGGGATTATAGCACCCGTATTTTATAATCCCCATTAAGGACGGTTAGTATATGGGGGGGGGATCCCAATTTAGATGTGAAGTAGGGTTTATATTTATGTTTTTTGGTGAGTGTTTATAAGGTTCCTTTTTAATATTGGTGACTGTTTATGTGGGGTGTCCTTTTGGGGGTACAAGAAATATATACCGTACTTCATGTGTACATAATCTGCCTCTGCAGTGTTTTTTGCTAAGGGAGGCTGGTATTCCGGTATTCGAGGAAGAGTTTTGACACGACCTGACTTCGGGGGTTGCTAGGCCCTCCGGTCCCCTCACTTTAGGGATTTAGGGACCTCAAAACGCTGAGATGAGGGTTTCGTACAGCCCGCCACCCCTGACGAGGCATCAATTTTGGCCCAGCGCGCATGGCCTGGCTTGACATCACCTGGAAGACGGTGCGGAATGGGAGCGGGGGGGGGGGGAAGAACTTCTGAGAGTTTAGGGCTTGGGATTGAAATTATTCCTCCTTATACCAATCCTGAATAGGGATTGTAGCACGCCCTCTTCTAATCCCTATTACGGACTGTTAGCATAAGGGGGAACATCCCAGGCTTAGGATTTCATATTGCATCGTTTCGCGACACTTCGCTGTTCTGTGTGAGGGACCTGAGGGCCATTTTGCTTTGTTTTGGTGTGGGGCAGGCGTCTCGCTGCTTCAGGCTTCAAGAGGGGGATTCAGGTGATGCTTGAACCCTAAACCCTAAACCCTAAACCCTAAACATGTTGCCGGAGGCTGAGATTGTCATTGGTAGGCTTTCGGCTGACTATATCCCCCTTGGGAATATAAAAGCCCAAGAGGATGTTAAACATATTTTGTTTATTAAGGTTCTAAGGGGAGTATAGCTGAGGGCTTAACGCTTAGGCACGAGGCTGAGGGCTCGCGTGTTGATGTTTCAAGGCTTTCAGGCTTGTGGCTTGGGGAGAGTGGACTTGAGGGGGGGTTAGGGTTTAGGGTTTAGGGTCTAGGGTTTAGGGTCTAGGGTTTAAGGTTTAGGGTTTAGGGTTGTGGTATGTTGAAGTTTGTTGGGGATGCCCTATCTTCGCAAATGCCCATATCTTTGGAACGAGCAGGTGGCCTTATTTTGGCCGTTACGAACTCCGGGAGCCGCAAAGGAACATCAAAACTTGCAGATCACCAGAGACAGAATCCAGGAAAGCGCATGCTGTTACCCTAAACCCTGTAAAACCCCATAAACCCTAGAAACCCTGTAAACCCTATAAACCCTGTGAACCCCTCAAAAACCCTTTAAAGCCTAAAAAAACACAAACCCTACAAACCCTATAAAACCCTGTAGACCCTATAAACCCTAAAAACACCCAGAAAACCTTAAAACAACCCTTAAACCCTAATTTAAAAAAAATCTGCAAACCCTGTAAGCCCTACAAACAATAAACCCTAAACCCTAAACCCTAAACCCTAAACCCTAAACCCCTAAACCCTAAACCCTTTACCGAACAAGGTGCACTGGAACGACCTGAAGCCCTTCGAGTTCAGCTTCACGCCCATCATCATGTGGCTTTGTGGTGCTTTACTGTCTAGGGTTTAGGGTTTAGGGTTTAGGGTTTAGGGTTTAGGGTTAGTTTGTAGCTACCCTCCTAAGTGCCTAAGTGCAGCCAAGGTGGGACATTACGAAGCCGAACTGCCTGAAGACTCACGGAAGCTTGGCTTGGTGGGTTTAGGGTTTAGGGTTTAGGGTTTAGGGTTTAGGGTTTAGGGTTTAGGGTTTAGGGTTTAGGGTTTAGGGTTTAGGGTTTAGGGTATAGGGGCCTTGGGGGGTTGAGGGCTGAGAGCCTCCTAAGCCCGAAGCCCTAAAACCCATAAGCCCTCAAACCCATCCACTTTAAGCCCTTAACCCTTAAGCCCTTAAAACCCTTAAAACCCTTAAACCCCTTAAAGCCCTTAAAACCCTTAAAACCCTTAAAAACCTTAAAACCCTCAAGCCCCTAACCCAGAACCCTACGGAGCAAGGCCTTGGCTAGCTTCAGCTCGGGAGATGGGCGTGGTTTGGTCCTAGCGTTGCTTGGGCTTGTTTTTCTTCACACGTTGGCTTAGGGTTTGGGGTTTGGGGTTTGGGGTTTGGATGTTGGTGAAGAGCTACGATGGAAGTTGTGGTTTTGAGCGCTCAAGGCATCGTCCCCCTCTACGAGAACACGCGCGTGCCTTCGGACGAGGAGTATGAGCAGTTCCTTGCGGGCAACCCTCCATGGCGGCTTGGCGGCAGTTGGGCTCAAATCTTCCTTCAGGGCTAGTACCCTGAAACACAAGTGGGGGGGGGGGGGGGGGGGGGGGGGGGCGGGGTTCCGAAATTAGAGGTATGAGGGTTCCTTGTCATAAGGGAATCCTACTATTTGGGGGGACTATATTAGGGGTCCCTTATTTTTTGTCCTACAAGAGACCCGAAGATCTACCTGCAACCATTTCTAGTGTGCGTGTGTGTGTGTGTGTGCATGTATGCAGATATACACTGCTCAAACTTGCCCGTGTTTTGTGTTGTCCAAACCTGAAACTGTTCTCTTATCGAACACTAGCCTCTTTCCACGTTTTACGGTTCAGGTTTTAACTAGTGCAAGTGTCAGGGTTCCACGGTTTGATGGGCTTACGGCTTGCGGTTCAAAATGTTGAAATTCAGACACAGATTGGGACGTTCTCCCTTATACTAGCAGTCCTTGATAGGGATTCTCGTGCCCCCCCCAATCATAATCCCTATTAAGGACTGTTAGTAAAAGGAGGAACATGCCCCCTAAACCCTAAAGCCCCTAAACCCCTAAACCCTAAACCCTAAACCCTAAACCCTAAACCCTAAACCCTAAACCAATTCATAGTGTTTCAAGCTTGAGAGTTTGGAGGGTTGGGGTTACGGGCTTGGGCTCAACTGCGGCCCAGCCCAAGCCCGCCAGCCATGAACTGAACCCAAGGCTTCCCTTAGAGCCCCCTGGTTCTTAGTAGGGGATGAGGCAATTAGGGCCCTATATAGATATAACACATATATGTATATGTATATATACATATATATATATATATACACTTATATATACTTTGTGAGCAGGTCTATGCACGCACGCTGCATGTGCAAAGCTGCCAGGGCCAGTACTGTAGTAGTTTTCCTTTGCATGCGTAGTTTTGCAATTCGTAACAATGCCAATGTTTTGGCTCAAGTACCGAGCTTGTGCCTTTGAGCACGGTAGTTTCGTACAGTAGCTCTTAGGTTGCTGTGCGGTCCGACCGGACGCACTCAGGCGTAGCTGCACAAGTGCTTGAACTCGCGAAGTCGTAAAACAGCGTGACCGGGCTGTGATTGCATTGGCTTAGTGCAAGTCCAGTGCTGGTCGACTTCACAATTGGGGGCTGTTCTGGGAAACGTACAGCTCTTGTGCCTACGGCCCGAGTGGGCAAGCATTGCTTTGCTTGTCTGTCGCGGTCCGTGACCTGGACGCGTGGACTGTGTGCCACGCTTGCGGCCTGTTAACCAAGGCGCGGCGCTTCGTGTGCCACGCCTGCGGCCTGCTAACCAAGGCGCGGCGATGTCCGCAGAGGTTGCAGGTCAGGCCGAGGGCGTCACCCTCCTCGAAGCGATCGAGGGTGGCGACGTTCCCTATCCCGAGCGGATGAGCTACGTCGCTTGGCTTAAGTGGCGTAGGGAGACCGGCAGTCGTCCGTTGTCCAAGCGGGATGGGGTTAGCACAACGCCAGAGCAGGAGGCGGCTCTCTGGCGAAAGGTCATGAAGTTCCTCCACGACGCCGAAGGCGAGGACGAGGAGGAAGAGGAAGAAGAAGAGGACTCCGAGCTAGTCCCTGAGGCCTCGGGCGCTGGAGGCGACATTCCGCCGCGGGTGGATGTCGGCGCCGCGGCTAGGGAGCTGGCCATGGTCCCTACCGGTGCTGCCTATGTCCCTGCTACGGCACCAGGGTCCCGCCCGGCGGGACCGTCCGGTCCGCCGTCGACAGCAGGTTCAGTCCCAGGCACCGCAGAGGGCTTACAGGCGGAGCTGCGCGCGATTTTCCGTCCAGACCAGGAACCGGTCGCGGACTACCTGACGCGCGTTTCGCGGATTGTCCTCGCGCTCAAAGCGCATGGACTCACGGTGAGCTCCCGTGACCTTGACGCCTTGAGCACCAAAGCCACCCTCCTTGCGGATGAGTTCTCGAAGATAGGCGGGGACTGGCATCCGACAAAGATGGTCCGTCGGCTGCGGACCAGGTTCTCGGTCGCGGCTTTGCGCGGTGGCGAGGACCCCGAAGACGCAGAGGAGATTCAGCGTGAAATCCAATGCATCGGGGAACTTATCCTCGCGCTAGGGGGAAAAGAAAGGTCGAGCCAAGAGAAGGTTTGGAGCTCCCCGTCCGACGTGCCAGTTGAAGCCGTGGGGCCGCGTTCCCCAGGGCTACCACAGCCTGCGACTGCGAGTGGGTTGGGGTTAGGTTTGGACCGTGGAGGTTTGCACACTGCCGAGGTTGCAGGTGGTCCTTCCGCGGCCCGTGACCTGGGCGCGACGGACGGCGATTCCCCTTTGCGCGCGAAGCTCGCGGCGCTGGAGATGGAGATAGAAGCCCTGAAGCGAGGTTCAGACGGCGGAGGTTCGCAGACCGGGTCCCAAAACCCGGCGGGCGATTTCGCCGCCGCACTCGCCGCCCAAACTGAAGCGTTGAAAGAAGCGTTAGCGCAGAGGGGCGGGCAAAGCTCCATAACGACGGTCAAAACTGACCTCACGTGGCCGACGCTGACCGACGACAAGTCGGACGCGCGAGACGTTGTCCTGTTCTACGAGGAGTTCGAGGACGTCTGCGCACTGGCCAACAACTGCCGCGGTATGAGTGCGCGCGAAAAGCTGCTAGCGCTACGCGGGCGCTGCCGCGGCTCGCGCATGAAGACGTACACGAACGCCTACCGCGCAGCGTGTAAGTCGGGAGAGGTTCTCTCCGACCCACAGGCGGTGTACGACCGCATCAAGAACAAGCACTTGATGTTCGGGGAATCGCGGGAGGAAAGAGAAGTCCGCGTGGATGGTGAGCATGCCTCCCTCGCTAAGGGCAAGCTCACAGGCCACCAATTCGAGCCTTTGTTTGAGGCATCGATCGCGGACCTTGAGGCGGTGGGTCTTGGGAAGACCCCACGAGAGTTGTATCTCTCGTACCTCCGCAAGATGCCCCCGTATCTCCAAAAGGAGATACGTAACGACAAGCGATTGTGGCCCGGCGACCCCAAGGACGGCGGGCTGAGAGGGCCGCAGACTTGGGAGGAGAGCCACAAGGTCGTCTTGGAGTACGAACAGAGGGAAGCAGCGCACCGTGCTGTTTCCCACTCTGTGTACTCCACGACCGGCTCTCCAAGCGCGGACCCGTCGGTCGCGCTAGCCGAGGCTCAGAAGGAGATTCGGAGCCTCAAGGCCGCCGCTAAGGCTGCTGCGAAGGGAGCAGCTGCCGCGGCCAAGGCTGGCGCGGATCAGACGTTTGCCGCTGCGTCGAAGGGAGCTGGCAAAGGAGCGGACAAGAAGATCTGCTTCCACTTTCGCGACCACGGGAATTGCCCGAAAGGGGATGCCTGCCCGTACAGCCACGACAAGGAGCTTCGCAGAAAAGCTCTCGCGGCCAAGAAGGGTGACCAAACCTTTGCCACGGCGAAAGGCAAGGGCAAAGGGAGGGGAGGTGGCAAGGCAAAGGCCAACGCAAAGCCTAAGGCTGCGGCCAAAGGCGCGGCAAAGCCACCAGGCACGGTTTGCCCCTTTTTCTCCAAGAATGGGTCGTGCAAGAAAGGAGCCAGCTGCGACATGGTCCACAACCTGACGACCTCAGGAGGGACGCCGGCCTTGCCTGCCAACTGGGCCGCGCCCTCCGGTGCTTCCATGTCCAACCCCTTCGCTGCGTTCAGTGTCCAGATAGGCAGCTCAGGCGTCCAGGCAGGCGTCTCAGGAGCCGCAGGACGCGCCGCGGTGCAGCAGCACGCGCTTCCGTTGAGCAAGGGCGGGCGGGACAAGTTCGCCACCCTGGACGATCTGCCGAAGGACTGGTGGAGCCTGGCAGACAACGAGCCAGGAGGCTACCAGTACAGAACGGTAGTCCAGGTGCTCGACCGTAAGGTCGAGTGCATGCTCGACGGATGCGCCGGCGCAAACCACGTAACCGAGGAACTTGTGGTGGGCATGATGAACCGGGCTGCAGAGCTGGGGATCGGTACCGAAGATCCCGGCTTCCCGGTCGTGAGACTCGAGAAGTGGGTCCACCCCGAATGTGTGCATGGCATTGCTTCGGGAGCCCCCGTTCCTCTGAAGGGGGCAGCAGTCTTGCGCGTCACGCTGCTGGAAGGCAGGACGGCGGACGACTGTCGCCCCAACACTGAAATTTTCGTGCGATGCAAAATCGCAGCCAGGGGAACGTCCGATTGGCACGGACTGATCCTCGGCGGCAGAGCGTTGGACTGCGCCGGAAGGATGGGCCTGGGCTTCAGGCCGGGTCCCGACTTTCACGTCCTCGACACGCTGGGAATCAGGATGCCCAGATGTGAGGATCACAGCAAGACCCGGAAGGACAGGGCCTACGCCTTCGAAGCGCGGTTGTCGAGCCTGGACGACGCGTCATGCACCGAGCCTGGGGGCGGAAGCCGGGAGCTCCTCCGCTACGACGGGGAAGAGCCTCTCGAGCTCTCGCCAGGCGACGGGGTGCTGGTGCCTGTCGTGCGGGAGCAAGGAGTCTCCGCAGAGGGATCCCTGTCCGAGGTAGTGCTTCCGGTGGAGTGCGGGGTCGAGGCCGTACCAGGCCTTTGGCCCACAGGAGAGGGAAAGGGGTTTGTGTTGCTCGCAGCCCAAGAGTGCGATCACTCTCTCCAGCCGGGCGAGGTTGTTGCGGAAGTGCGTTCCGGCCTCGTTAGCACTGCGGCCTGTGGTTGTGGCGCGGTTGAGACGGTGTTCGAGTCGGAGCCGTCTCCGCAGGCATGTGCGGATTGTGGGGTCGCCGTTGCCTCGGTTGACCACGACCCGTGCTTTGCTTGCGGGTCCGCGTCCAGGGCCGCGGCAAGAAGCTTCCAAGGTTGTTCCTCGTGTGCGCGGTCCTTTGGGCGGCTGCGTACCGGCGCCAGGATCGGTGTGCTATCGGTCCTTGCTGCGGTGACTGTTCTCGCTTCGGTGTGGGGCGGGAGCGGCCCGGTTGGGCGCCCTGTTGAGGAGCCTGGAGTGCTTACTTGCTTGGACCACCTTCCAAGCGTCGACAGCTGGTGGGAGGCGCCGGGTGGTTACGCGTCTGTGTGGGGTAGGCGCCC